GTCGAGGACTACCCAACCGGTCGTAAGTCGAGGACTTTCCCTGCCCGGGAGCGCCGCACATGCGTGGTTCCGCCCCCTGCGCCGGCCGAGGCGTAGCTGGCAAGCGGCAGAGACGGAGCAGGCCGACCACCAGCTGGCCCAGCCCAAGGGAGGTAAGGCACCCGCCGGAAAAGGGGAAAAAATGGCGGACAAAAAAAAAATGGCGGACAGCCTTGCTTGGTGACCCCCGTGAAATGGCCGATCGACCCCAAATGGGGTCGCGACCCATAGGTTGAGAACCGCTGGTGTAAATGCAGCCACTTTTTTGCTTGCACCCAAAAAAATGAAAATACGGACTGCCACATTCGGGTGGCCAGAATGTGGGTGGGGCTCTGATTAGCCAGATGCGGATTGGCTGCTCAGCTTGTCAAACACACCCTTCTGAGGTGATTTTTCCGGACCCTTCAGGGGGATAATGAAAAGATTTTGGTCCATTGGGGACCTGAAAGACACCCAAACAAGCACCCCTTGCTTCTTGAGAGGAGAAAAATATCTTCCCGACACTCTCCGCTCTCAAGTTTCTAGTCCTCCTGCGTCTGCAAAGAGGGATGGAAGCGCCAAGGTCGTTTCAGCACCTCAGTCTCCAAAGCCAGTGGGGAAAATACATTTTTCTGGAGAACGGAAAGTGTTTGGGCCTCCTTAGCCATCCGAGGTGAGGAACGTGGTGCCTCAGTAGACCAGTTCGTAAACTGTGGCTTTCTTGTCTCCCGATCCAGTCACGATAAACTTGTCATTAGCCGAGATGTCACAGCTTAGAACGGAGGACGTTTCTTTGGACTGCAAAAGAAAGCAAGGAAATGAAGGGAAGAAACGGATGGATTCTGCCAACATTCACGTTCGGGAAATTCGTCAGATTTGCACAAGACATCTCGGTTGGCAATGCCAATTACTGGTGTCTCCTTTTGGCAACCTTTGGTGCCTCCACAAGGACTGAATAATAGCCCTGGATTAACTATTAACTAGAAAAAGCCGTGTTTAGGGAAGTAACACAGCTTTTTCCCCCCGCTAGCTACCAGGCCCTTAATTCTTTCACTGCTACACTCGACCGAAATTGAAATTTTTTGTAATGGTCCTTATCCTACGTATTCAACTTTAATTGGGTGGAATTTAAGGTGGTAGGTGGTCAACTGGCGCTCTATCAACAGAGAGGCAGTTTTGCCTGCCTAGTGGTTAAGGTACCAGGTTAGAAACTGGGAAACTGTTTAGTCCCACCTTAGGCAAGAAAGCCAGCTGGGTGACTTTGGGCCAGTCACCAGGAGGCAGTGAGTTCTAGTCCCGCCTTAGGCAGGAAAGCCAGTTGGGTGACTTTGGACCAATCACTAGGAAACGGTGAGTTCTAGTCCTGCCTTAGACATGAAAGCCGGTTGGGTGACTTTGGGCCAATCACCAGGAGGCAGTGAGTTCTAGTCCTGCCTTAGACATGAAAGCCAGTTGGGTGACTTTGGGCTAATCACAAGGAAATGGTGAGTTCTAGTTTTGGCTTAGGTATGAAAGCTGATTGGGTGACTTTGGACCAATCACCAGGAGACGTTGAATTCTAGTCCCACCTTAGGCATGAAAGCCAGCTGGGTGACTTTGGGCCAATCACAAGGAAACGGTGAGTTCTAGTTCTGCCTTAGGTATGAAAGCTGATTGGGTGACTTTGGATCAATCACCAGGAGGCAGTGAGTTCTAGTCCCACTTTAGGCATGAAAGTCACCCGAGTGACACTCTCTCTCCCTCTCTCTCTCAGCCCAACCCACCTCACAGGCCTGTTGTTGGGACAATAGAAGGGAGGATTGTTAGATATATTAGCAAGTTATTTATAAAAACAAAGGTGGGATAAATTATAAATTATTGAAATTAAAAAATTAAATTATTAAATTAAATTAAATTAAATTAAAAAACGATTAAATTTAAATTAAATTAAATTTGACATCATGCCCATGGTTAGGGCAAGAGCAGTTGTCTAGAATTACGCCCAAATATTTATGCTGAAGGAAAAGTCCCACCTTCTATGGTAGCTCTAAGAAGTGAGCCACGTTACAACCTGGGTCCTCTTAAAACCAATCCCAGCTGAATCGTACGGTCTGCTTCCCCATCCAGAAATCCCCCGATCGCATTGCATTTTCTGCAGAGAGCAAAAGCATTCAACCAACAGCTTTGCAAGCCTCGGTCTCCATTACCTGAAAGATGCTGGCACCGTAGGGAGCCCGCCACGCGTTAAGCAGATTATCTTTGCCCGTGCTGATAAACCATTTGCCTGTAGCGAGAGAGGAGAGGAAAAACAGAGAAGGGATCCGGTCTGTGTGCCCGAACATTACAGATGGGAAGGGAGAGAGCCCCTTCTGAGGTCCCAGGAGCCATTTAAGAGTGCTCATTTAGTGACCATTCCAAGTCACAATGGCACTGAAAAAGGTAATAATAATAATAATAATAATAATAATAATAATAATAATAATAATAATAAGAATAAGAATAAGAATAAGAAGAAGAAGAAGAAGAAGAAGAAGAAGAAGAAGAAGAAGTAGTAGTAGTAGTAGTAGTAGTAATAATAGTAGTTGTTGTTGGAAGGGATTTTGGAGGTCATCTAGAAATTGGATATTGGAATTGGGTATGTCTAATGAAGAGAAGGACGAGGGGGGACATGATAGCAGTGTTCCAATATCTCAGGGGCTGCCCCAAAGAAGAGGGAGTCAAGCTATTCTCCAAAGCCCCTGAAGGCAGGACAAGAAGCAACAGATGGAAACTCATCAAGGAGAGAAGCAATCTGGAACTAAGGAGAAATTTCCTGACAGTTAGAAAAATTAACCAGTGGAACAACCTGCCTCCAGAAGCGGTGAATGCTCCAACACTGGAAGTCTTTAAGAAGAGACTGGACAGCCATTTGTCAGAAATGGTATAGGGTTTCCTGCCTGAGCAGGGGGTTGGACTAGATGACCTCCAAGGTCCCTTTCAACTTTATTATTATTATTATTATTAGCCATCTTCCTTTCCTCACATGAAGGCCACATTCAGACAAACATATGGAATGTGGTAGTTCAATTAACCCTTGTGGAGAAATTGTCCAATACATCAAGTCATGAATATAACCACCCACCCCACTCCAACATTTAAAAGCATCCAGCTTATAGAGAATAGAATAACAGAGTCGGAAGGGACCTTGGAGGTCTTCTAGTCCAACCCCTTGCTCAAGCAGGAAACCCTATACCAGTGGTCTTCAAACTTGGCAACTTTAAGCCTTATGGACTTCAACTCCCAGAATTCCTCAGCCAGCCCTTGAAGTCCACAAGTCTACCATTCCGGATAAAGAGCTGTCCAATCTCTTCTTCAAAAACCAACTTCTTCAAAACTTTTTGTTTCTTTCCTGCATTTTATTGTGGTGTGCAACTGTGACTTGGCTAAGTGGGTTGTGCGAATGCAACCAGGGTGATGACAGATGGGTTAGTAAGGATGCCTGGACCTTCAACAGCAGCCTCCTCTTTCTTACCCACGCAACCTACCACAGGAAGCGAACTTCAGGGAGAGGACGCAGCTTTCGTGAAGATGCAGCTGGTACTTCTCCGATTTCATCACGTGGAGGATTTCCACGTTGCTGCTCTCCATCCCGACTGCCAGCCACTCTCCCGTGGGGCAGTAGCCCAGGGAGAAGATCTGGAGAGATAGGAGGGAGATGGGTGAGAAGGAAGGAAGGAAGGAAGGAAGGAAAGGAAGGAAGGAAGGAAGGAAGGAAGGAAGGAAGGAAGGAAGAAAGAAAGAAAGAAAGAAAGAGAGAGAGAGAGAGAAAGAAAGAAAGAAAGAAAGAAAGAAAGGAGGGAGGGAGGGAGGGAGGGAGGGAAGAAAGGAAGGAAGAAAGGAAGGAAGAAAGGAAGAAAGAAAGAAAGAAAGAAAGAAAGAAAGATGAGGACAGTTGAAAATTAAAGCTTAAAAAGGCCAGGATGGCATGGAATGGCACAGAATGAGTAGAGTAAAGTAGAATAGAATACAGAACAGAGAATAGAATAGAATAGAATAGAATAGAATAGAATAGAATAGAATAGAATAGAATACAGAACAGAGAATAGAATAGAATAGAATATAGAATATAGAATATAGAATATAGAATATAGAATATAGAATATAGAATATAGAATAGAATAGAGTAGAGTAGAGTAGAATAGAATAGAATAGAATATAGAACAGAGAATAGAATAGAATAGAATAGAATATAGAACAGAATAGAATAGAATAGAATAGAATATAGAACAGAACAGAACAGAACAGAATAGAATAGAATAGAATAGAATAGAATAGAACAGAATAGAATATAGTACAGAGAATAGAATAGAATAGAATATAGAACATAGAATAGAATAGAATAGAATAGAATAGAATAGAATAGAATAGATGTAAAGCCCATTAAAGTCATGTGATTTTCCACTTAGTGACAGAGTTGCTGGTCCCATTGTGATCGCTAAATGAGGACTACCTGTAATCATCACCACTTTGTCCAATATTGGTGTGCCAAGATCCCACCCCCTTCTCAGGGTTGATTGGTTGCTATTGGAGACCCCACCTGCTC